TACACTTTAAAACAACATTAATGCCACTCCATTTTCGCCTTGTGAATTTAATACTATACTTAAAGTAAATGCAACATTGTATTATATTTATAGTGATGGAAAGTACCACTTAGGACCCTCCAAATTGAACAAATAAATAAATGAAGGAAAAAGTAGAGTTGCAAAGGAATGAGAGTGTGTGCATATAGATTCCGTAGATTCATGAGTAATAAAGAATATATTAAAAACTAAAATTATATTTTTGTAAAGTTAGAACTAGTTTATACATAAATTAAATTCTCATAATTTATTTAAATTATTGTTTTTAATTTGTGCACTAATTAGTTTTATTAATGAAAATTTACTTCTTTATTTGTTTTTAAATTTGTCATAAAGAAATTTAAACATCTATGACGAAAAGAATGAATATTGGAGACACTATGAATATTCTCTGCAAAAAGAAAAATTAATATACGGTGTAGATTAATTATGTTTTTTTAGACTACAAGTGTCTTTCACAAGAGAGGTACTTTTTTTTTAATAAAAAATAAACTTGACTTCGTGGTCTTATTTAAAGAAAAATTAAGCATCAGTAGTGGAATGAATTACTTGACTAAATGTATTGTTTATTATTATTTGGGTGTAAAAGAGTTGAATAGTACAGTTGGTTTGGTTTGGAGACATAAAGGTGAAAAAAAAATACATTCCTTTTTTTTATACTTCCATATTTGTTTTAAGAAGATAATAATATCTTAGTTTTAACTTTTATTAAACGAGAGATCAAGAAGCATGTTATGGAATATTTAAAATCTAAAAATATTTTCAATGAATGCATCAAAAATATATATTTTTATAAGTTATAAATTATGAAATTCGAAGTATAATTTTACCATTCCAGTTATATTAATCTAGAAAGTATCTAAAAATAATTTTTCAAATATATAATTTAAGTTATATTAATAACATCTTTTTTTCTAGGAAGAATATGAGGTGAAAGAGTAAAGAAAAGAAAAGTGGGTATAGTAGGAAAGAGTTTGGCCCATTTTGTGGCACTGTATTGTTGCGTACTTTAAATTTCACGATTCATTAACACTCTTACTTCCATCCAAAAATATCCAAATATTTTTTTGTTAATTTTAATTTGAAACCTAAGAGTTTCTTTTTTTACACTTTCATATTTTTCTTCTAGATCTTCATAGTTTCTGTAATTTGATTTTGTTGTGGTTTTATGTCCATTAAAGATTATTTTCAGCCTATAAAGTGAGAAATTATTAATATTTTATATATATATTATGTGAAAATTGGATTGAAAATGAGTATAGAAATTCAAACTGATCAATCTAAAATACATCTTTACATCTAATTTATTTTTGGATTGATAATTCTAGAAATACATTCTAAAATAACCTATTCATAATGTACTCCAAAACATTATGTGCAAAAATAGGATATAAATAAATTTTGATAAACAATGAAATAAAATTTAGTTTAATGATAAGTAAGGAAGAAAAACAAAAAAAAATCTATCAATTTACTAATTTGGAGAAAAGCAAAGGGATGAATATAAAGCATACAACAAATTTGAATTGCTACCCATTAGACAACTTAAATTATAGTTACTTAAGGTTTGGTCGTGAAGTGCTCTTTACAATAGTATAAAATTAAAACTAATAAAATATGCTTTTATTTTATTAATTGTATATAACTTTTTTGTCATATTACATAATTCATTTTTATTTTCATAAAATTCTTAAAATTATTTTTCAATTTTTGTCATCATCAATATCAATTTTTTTTATATTTTAAATAGTTTTTAAATCAGAGTCATTTACTGTAAATTTCTTCTAATTTATTTTCAATTGAATTTGATTTTTAAAAAAACTAAAATCAAACAAACTCTTACTTTCTTTTTACTTTTAAATAAATAGCTGTCTCATCTATATTTTTTTATTAAAATAACACTCATCTTTTTTTTTCAAATTAAAAAATAAACGTTAATCTCTATCATATTTTTTTATAGATGAAACTTAAAGTGTCACTCTCGTCCTTTATTTTATTTTTAAATTTTAAAATAAAATTAAAGTTTAAAAATAAAAAGTATAAACAAAAAATTAAATAGTTTAATAATTATATATTAAAATATCATAAAAGTTATATTGTTATTAAATTCTAAATTATCTTAAAAAACATAAAAAGTCATATTTTAAGAAAATATTATTTTAATATAAATGAATAAATATAAAATATATAATTAAATATATTAAATTATTATTATTATTATACAGAGAGTCATTGTTATATTATCAGCCGCATGAAGAAGATGAATATGTTTTTTTTACATGAGTTTGATATCATCTTTTTGTCATGCAACTGGTTTATCATTACATGGATCGTTTCTATTATCTATAAATATAATGGAAGAAAATCATATAAAAGACAGAAATAAATGGTTCACAATTAATCATTTAATTTTTGTTTATAAAAAAAATCTTTAATTTGTTAATATTTAAAAATTTAACTTTTAATTCACATAAATTTTTATTTAAATTTTGATAAATATGTAATTTTTAAATAAAACAAAATTTTGAGTGTTATTTTACTAAGACATAAAAAAACTAATATTAATTTAGAAATAAAAAATGGTTTGAACGTACTTTTATTATAAAGATATAAGATAAAAAATTATATATTAAAAAAATTAAGGGGTTTGTCATTTAACATAATTAAAAAAATAATAAATACAATTTTTCTAATATATTAAATATATTTTTATATAAATATGATAACTTTTTTATTCATTTAGTTCTTATTTTTAAAATGTAAAATTTAGTTTTTCTTTTTTTATATCTCACTGTTTTCGTTAATATCATTAAAAGGAGATGATTAATGACTTGATATATATTCTAAATGACAACACATGTCAGGGTCACATGTTGTCTGTTAGTTAATATTTTTCACGCCTCTCTCCCCTACACATAGTTTAGGTCTCCAACAATAATTAAGAAAATTAGGATATTAAACTCTGTTAATTAGGTTTCCATGTAAATTGAAAATTAGATATTAAACCCTATTAGTTAGGTTTCGTGTAAATTTTAGATAAAATTGTGATGTGATAAAAAAAATAATAAGTATTAATATGTGTTAAAACAATAAGATATTCAATTTCTTTATATTATTTAATATTAAATAATTAAATATATTTATTGTACTTTATTGTTATAATATACATTAATATAAGTAATATTTCTGTTAAATATAATAAATATAATAAATTTAAAAAATTTAGTATAACGATTAAAAATTAGTATTTTATTATCACCTTGAAACTTTTATTACATACAGACATAGATACAAATACAAATGACATACTTATGTTTATGAACATGTTTGCTGTATAATGATTAAAATTTGTTTTAATTCTAACAATTTTACATAGAAGGGTGCATTTTAATTGTGGATAATATAGATTTGAGTTAGGAGTTGGTTTGTTTTTATATATTTATTACTTACAAGTTTTTATTTTTTTTATTTTTAAACTCTCAAACAAACAAACACATTTATATATACAAACAACCACAATCAGTATATTTTAAACTAAATATTTCAAAACGTTTAAAACAAATGATACGTCAGTTTAAAATGGGATGGAATCAAGACATGTTAATTATATTCTATATTTAACATGTGTTAAATGTGGTTGTATGTTTCATCTATTTTTCAAAAAAAAAATTCATTAATTACATACTTTTTTTATATATTTATTACTTTTTAAAAATATAAATAATAATAATAATAGTTATTTTTTCTTAAATTATAATACTTTTATCTTTCTATCAAAATAAAAGAATATTATAAAAAAATCTTCATCACATGATAATAGAGGCATTATAACATTTATATATTCTTTTTTTAATTAATTTTTTAAAATATTATTTTAAATATTATTTTGTTTTTTCTTTTTCTTTTTTAAATATATCTACTTTTTTTTAATCTGTCTTTACCTAAAAGAACTCTTTATATATATATATATATGAAGAGTGTAATCTTATATTTTTATTATTATTTAAATATATAAATCATAATAATTTTTTTTAAAATAACATTTTTTTTTTCCTCTCATCTCAATTTTTAACACTACAAAAATAACTATAAAAAATAAATTCCCTTTATATATAACTACAAATTATATAGATTATAAATTTTAAATTAAAACTTAATTTTAAAATTTTATTAATTCTGCTATGTCAACTCTTCTAAAAAGCTCACTGATTAACTTTATTCATTTTTCTTGTTTATTTTCTTTTCCTGTGTATTCGAGATGATATGTGTATTCGAGATGATAAAAGAGAAAACAGAATCACCTAAAAAAATTAAAACATGTCTATTATTTTCTAATGCTCGTTCCATTCATTAAATCTCTATGTAAATATTTCCGATTCAGTATTAAAATAAATTATCAATGTGCACTAGACGATAATGACTTTAGTACAAATAAATTTCTTTACAAATATTTACGAAGAGAAAAGTAAACTTTGTGTCAACTAAACCCAACTTTAATATAATTAGAAATCAATTTGATAGAAATTCTTATATATTATCTTTGCCAAAAGTTAACTTTAGTAGATGCAATATTTTGATTTTATATTAACTTAAAGAAACAATTGTAATTAAGACATCTACATCTATAATTCGGAATACAATTCAGCTTCAAATGACAACCATCAAATTTGCAACATAAAAACTGGTCAGATAATGTGTTTACACAAGGTCTCTATGCATGTAGATGCACTTTCCCCAAAAGGTTGGCCAATGTCTACTTCTTGAATCTGTGTAACTCCCAATTACCTATTAGTCAATCAAATTATCAGAAACTTAGAACATTCATCACAAGACAAACTCATGACAGTAATTTGGGGGTGAGAAATATCATAATTATGAGATACTATTATTATATCAGAAAACACATGTATTAAGTAGGACACAGAAATTATACCAAAATCCTTAGAAGAAAGTTTAAATCCTCAAAACCGCTTGGGCTTCGAATCTGCTAGCGAGACTCGTATAGCTCTACCATTCAAGTCCTACAACCAATGAGAAAGTATGCCCAATTAAACACAGACCCAGTTAAAGGAAATGAGCTCGTAGCATCGTCCACATAAATTCACTATTTTTAAACTGACCCACTTATAATTAAGATGAAACCTCGTTGAAATATAATTACAAATTGACCAAAAGCATTTGTGTATGACAGAGATATTTGCTTCAATTCGAAAATGTAGTTTTTCAAATAACGCAGATTAACTTATATGACTGTCATTTGAATTTTGAAAACAAAAGTCCCCACCTCATTTTCTTTTAAAAAATGCTGGTTAATTGACGAAAAAGCAAACTAATTTTTTTTTTAATGCATCCACTTTTTCAAAGGGGAAGGATTAGCATGCTTACCACACCATCCAAGGACTGAATTGCACTGCTGACCTCTTCAGCACTACTATAAGTCACAAACCCAAAGCCTCTTGATCGTCCACTGTCCCTATCGTAGACTACCCTAGCTTCCAAGACCTTTCCTTGTTCCCGAAACAATGTCTCGAGTGTTACATTGTCAACACCCCAAGCAAGATTACCTACATGTACTCTGTTATCACTATCTGAAAAACCACCACCACCACCACCTCCTCCTCTGGAAGAACTTCTAAAACGAGATGAACTGTCGTTGCGAGCAGGGGGTGGTCCAGCATTCACTTTCAAGGCCCTTCCATCAAGTTCCTATGAATTTCAAAAGATTAATTCCTTAGATGTGATAAAGAAATGGACATATATACATACACATGGCAATGACCAATGAAACACATCTTCACATTTCACATAATACAAATTAAATCTCTAACAACACTGTTTAGTATTGCTGTAAGCCACCTTAACTAGTAGGTCAATGGATTACAAGCAAATTGATGTTTGTAAAAACCAATACTTCTGCAGTCAATAAAGCTAATCTTAAGTGAAAATTTTTAGCTCAGGATAAACAACGAATTGATTATAGGGACTAGACCCAAGTGTGTCTGGCTGGTTTTATAGTAGGAGGTATCAAAATTGATTAGGGTCCTATTTGGATAAATACATCATAAAATCTTTTAGAAGATAATATGGAAAATGAAATAAGTTTCTTTCTTCTCTTTTTCTAAGAGTATTTAGAGAAAAACTTATACAAAATAGAACCTATAATTGATTTTGCTCACGTCAAATGTGATTTGAGTAAAGACAAAGTAAAACTGATGTTACTTCTTAACCTCAGTTGACTATATATAAATGATAAAATATAGCTTTTGTGATATGTTAAAAATTTCACTCAGTCCTACAAATAAATCACCTCAATCAATTCCATTAAAACCAATTTTGAAAACACTAACCTAAACACTACATTTTCAAAACCAACTACAACACGGTTCAAAAGAAACTCCACTTCACCATCCAACAAAGAAAAATTCTTGCAAACATCAACCCGAACATAAATCAGTTTTATCAGCACCATTTCTTACAACATCAACAATCTCAAACTTAAGAAAAGAAAAACCTAAAATTCAAACACGAACCAGCTTCATCAATACCAACTACAATAAACTCACATAGCCATTGAACTGCTGAGCAGCCGCTTCAACCTCCTCAACCGAAGACATGGTCACAAACCCAAAACCCCTGCTTCTCCCAGTAGTCTTATCATAAATCACCTGCAAAAAAACTCAAAACATGTCACGACCCATTTCAATTCTCCCCAAAGGGCTTCCAAGAAACCCCTAAAAAACCAAACTTGCAACCAAAACAGAGCCATCACCTCAACCATCTCCACATTCCCAGCGCTTTCGAAGAGCTCGGCGAGCTGCGCACTGTCGACGCTGAACGGAAGGTTGCCGACAAAGAGCTTAAGGTCGGGGGAGAACCTGCCGCGGCCGTCGCCGTCTCCGTCGCTGAAGGTGTCCTCTTCCTGGTCGAACTCGGAAGAGACAGCGACGCGGGGAAGGAAGCGCGAGGAGAGGGAGAAGGTGGGTTTGAGGAAAACGGTGGAAATGGAGATGGGTTTGGCGTTAGGGATGAGGGAGAGGGAGGAGGAGAAGCATTGGGGCGAAGAGAGAGGGTGGCGGGTTCGGAGAGTAAGAGTGGGGAGTGCAAGAGAAGCTGCAGAGGTAGACATGGTAAAGGATAAGGCTTGGGAGAAAGTGGAAGTAGGGTTTATGGAGGGAGAGGGGTTTGAGAGTGGGTGAAGAGTGTGATATTTATCAGCAAGAAATGAAGAATGAGAGTGCATAGTGATAAGGTATGTTCATCCATTTACTAATTTATCCTCCCTCTTTCTCATGCAGATATTTTCTTCTTCCAAACCTTACATACATAGTTTTATTTTTTTCCTCTTTTTTTTTTTACTATTTTTAATCTTCTAGTTTAAAATGTAATTTTTTTTTTTCCATAGAATGATTCAGAGACAATATTCTGTAACCAGAGAAAAGATGGTTTTATGTTTTGTTTGGAAGAGTAATATTTTAACATTAAAGAGACAAAATTCCGACAAAATGTTTGAAGGAATTACAACTAAAGCATATTTTACCTTGCATATAATTTACTTATACTTTTAAAAGTTGATTAACTAACAAAAGTAGATTAAATTCGCAAACTTTAGAAAGAGTTTGATTAGACATGTCATAAAAGATTTATCCTTCTACTATTAAATATATTTTTATTCATAAAATGAACATCAATATCCGGGATTCGTGCATGGATATTTTGGGCATCAAAATATTTGTCGACGTGGAGATTGTAACATTCAGATATTTTTGGTAAGGGTGAATGAATGTCCAGAGATATTGAGACGGTTAATGGGCTTGGGTGAACATGGTAACAGTTGAGCCCAAACCCAAGTAATTGAATAATTGGTCCAATAATTTTGAAGTGGAAATGGGTATTAGGCAAGTGTGTTGTGTTGTGTTGTTTTTGTTGGTTTGTTCCAAGTAGGACCAAACCAAAGCTGGATTTGTTCCTTTTGGTATGCAAGTGGGTTTGGTAACAAAATCATTTTGTGCAGACATATTACTGGACCCCATGTGCCTTTGTCCCATACTCACTTTTGTCTTTTCCAGATTTAAATGCTAACTTCATCATAAGTGGTGTGTTATTGACTCCATTCTTTCCCCTCGTGCACTCAATGCACCCATCTACTTCCCATTCATAACTTCTTATGGTATCTCTCAAAAAAATTTTGGTGAACAGTTAGCTCAACCCATTACACTACTTTCCCTCTTATTATTTGAACAACTAGTTCAACCCCTTAAAAACACAAAGAAGTCAATATTATTTGTATTATAATCATCACTCTCCATATCCTAATATTCACCACCTTTTCAAACTTCAAATATTAACTTAAAGGAATAATATAATATATTTTTATAATTTTTGTTTGATTCACTTATTTATGTCAATTTTTTTCCTCCTTTATAACATATTAATATAATGATACCTTCCCTAATTTATGCACCAATGTATATAGCATTGATTAAGGTTCTGTTTCATCAAATAATTGCATGGTCATGTGGGTAAAGTTAAATGAAGTTAAATGAAATAAAAGGCAAAGGTAATCATTTAGTAAAAACAAATTGCATTTTTTCTCTATTTTTCCCCTTTCCCATAAAAAAAATATTTGTATACAAATTTTCATTGATTTCCCTTTTATGTTCAGTCTCTCTCACTTAATCTAAATCACTTAACTTTTTTACTCAAATTCTTTATTTTTCTTTTTGTGTTTACTCCTTTACTTTCATATATACCATTTAAATGTTTGAGACTATTTTTATTAACTTTAGAACATTAATTACCTTTTTTTTACTTTATTTCTTAAAAAAATTTAATATTATAGGTAAAAAAAAATTCAAACTGATTGCTAATAAATTAAGAATGTTGAGATTACAAAAAAGAGAGATAAATTTATTTTCAACAAGTTTGTTTAAATTAAACCTGATAAAAAAAATGAAATATTAATTTAAAAGAAAGTACAATTTACCCCAATTATTATACTAATAATAACATCAGAAAGAAAAATAAATATTATTAAGTAAATAAAAAATGTCAATAATAGTACCTTCAAATTGATAAAAATATTATGTTGTGATGGAAGAAAAGATTCCCCCAATATGCATGTGAAGAATTGCTTAACAATCTTATAACAACCTTTTCTATAATCATGATATATATTGTAACAGGAAGTGGTTCAATCATTAAGTTGACTTTAACTGATGCCACCAATTATGAATATTGGCATGTAGACTCAAACAAAATTATTAGCTCTTTCGTAATCGTACACATCTACATGAAGCTAAAGAACTTGAGATTCACGTTTCTTCCCTCAAGACCATGAACTCCTCTTTCTATTCACAGTTAGGGTTTAAGAATTCAGATATAAAAATAAAATATAAGTTTCTGTTACACACACTTTCTGTTATGCACTGCTTAAGTATCAAGCTACGTCATCCAAATTTAAGATAAGTTTCATGAGACAGTGACATCATTTTAATTCTATATATCTCACCGGAAACTATGCATTGATAATCGGTTTTTGGATATGCTCTTCAATATATTTTATCTTATTTTATCACATACTATATATATGGTCACCAAATTAAATTATTTTAGGATTTTATGGTTGGATTTTAGTTGAGTTTTTTGCAAACCTTCATTTAGATTTATTATTAGGTCCCTACACCGTGCAGATATTTAGATACCTCCAGGGAGTATTAGTATGCAACTATTATAATAATAATAATAATAATAATAATAATAATAATAATAATAATAATAATAATAATAATAATGTATTATTCAATTTTATATAATTTTATACTTAAAAGATATCTTAATGGATTAAGCGAAGAGATTATATATAAACTACATTTGGTCTTAATTCCTAAACAATGTAAGAGTATTGAAATATAAGGCCTCGATCGAGAACTAAAGGATATATATAAGTGGAGCGAAACTCTATTCTTAAACTTACACTGAATATTAATGTTCTATTTAAAAAATTAAAGTGTCTAGACTTTATGTTTGTTAACATAATATTGTTAGAGTCAGAATGATAATATCATTATGATTAATTTTTATATTTAAAATATTGTCTATTTTAAAATTCTTGTCAATGAAAATTTTATTTTTAAAAACACTTCTATAAATAAACTTAAAAGAAATTATGTTATTACCATTTATAATAAGTTGTTGAACTATTTTTAGTGAACCCCGTGAATAGAAAAGAAAAGCACCAAAATTATAATATAGATGGTATTTTTCAAACTCCTGTGAGAACATTAACCTAATAAAGTCAACACTAAAATGCTTCAGAAAAGAATCATGGTCGTGCCAAACTAACTACCTATTTGTATTTGTTTTAGGACTCTACGTATTATGTACTTTGACTATCTTCTCCGGTACTTTTAAGAGAATAACATAAAAAGAAAATTCAAAATATAAAGTTAGTTTTTGAACCTTCCATAAATTAAATAAAAAACTAAATTAGATTTTGTATTAAATATATTAAAAATCATGTAATTAAGAGCTTCCATAACTACACTATGAATCAAGTTTAAACTTATGAAGAAATTCATTTTTCTTATTTTTCTGTCTTAAATTTTTTTAGGAAAACCTTTATTAAAGTGCATATCATAAATCTTTATTTTTAATTTATATAAATTTTTCTTTCTTTTTCTCTCATAAAACTTATTTACAAACATAATAGTTCCTAGTTTTTTATTAGTTTTTTAATTTAACAGACATTTTTTTATAGAGAATAAAGTGTTGATTTTTTTTAATAAGGCTTTTGCGTTTTTTATATTGGTTTATGATGACGAATTGAAGTTGAATTGTTTATTATTATTATTATTGTTATTATTACGAAATAAGTACAGCAAGTAAAAACATCTTACATTCTAAAGTGAGCTGAAAGTGAAAGTTTTTTCTTTTTAAACAAAAATAATTTATGCAAGAAATATATAAATAAGTAGATATATGAAACAAATATTTCACAATACAATAAAATATATACAATTTAAAGAGAGACTAAACATAATGTTTTTAGACAGTTACACCTTGAGTATGTCCTCACACGAATGCGACATTTTTTCGAATAATCTATATAACATACAATTGTTGACTTTTAAGGTTTCAACAGCAAGAAGCTTAAACCAAATTTTTTTTTTCTATATAGTTGACTTGTTTAATTTATTAAAATTTCTCTCACACAACATATCTATAGTATCAGTCGTATCAAAATTAATGATTTTCATGATAATCAATTTAAAAGGAAATGACAAATTATAGATTATGGATAAAAAATACCCATGATATCTTAAATTTTAATATTTCTCCATTATTCTCCTCACATATACTCATCATTACTTTTTTGAAAGTAGTTCTGAGAATAACAATGGTCTGCGAAATAGAGGCATCAAATTGAATAAAAAAGTATTTTGGTTAGAGCTTATCCATATATGCCTTGAATTTTAATTTACTTGATCTATTTTTTAATAATTAGATTGTGATTGAGTTAAAGATATTCTAACATGGGCAAGCCACAATATTTAAATTAACATTATCAACCCTACTTCACTTAGTTCACAATAAATTAATTTTATCTCTTTTATAAACATTTGTTAACTATTTATACGAATGATTCAAATTAAGAGTAGGAGTGTAATCATGAAAGGAGGTTGACCATGGACCACCGTTTTAAGTTATTCTATTAAGTTAATATCTTATTAATTTTTTTCTCAATCTCCTTTATCATTTACTAATAATTATAAATGTTATTATTGACAATATTATTATTAAACAAACATAGATTCAATTTGTTAAACACTTGGATCCATGTTCTTAACCCCTTGCTTAAGTTATGAAGGGTGAATAGAAGAAGTGTATTTATTTATGAGTAGAAAGTTGTGCATTACACTTAGCAAGTTAAGTTCAATGTACATGTCCATGGATCATATGCAATGATCAGATCCACTACATGACTAACCAACAAAACACATGAGAAATTGAACGTGATGCATACAAACTTTTACTTAACTTCAAATATTAAATGTGAGTACTTAATAATTACTAAACCTAACAAAATTAAATTTTAAAAAAATATCAAGAGACGAAGAATTTATTTGT